TGGTGTCAAGCTATGGATGAGGAGTATAAAGCCTTGATTGATCAGCATACATGGGAGCTTGTTCCGGTACCTTCAGATCGGGTTCCTATTGGATGTAAGTGGATTTATAAAATTAAGCATAACTCTGATGGTTCTGTTTCCAGGTACAAGGCCCGACTTGTGGCCAAGGGCTATACGCAGGAATATGGTTTGGACTACTCTGAGACCTTCAGCCCTGTGGTCAAACAGCAGACTATTCGGGTGGTTTTGTCTCTAGCGGTCAATCACAACTGGCCCCTTCATCAATTGGATGTCTCCAATGCTTTTCTTCACGGTGTCATTCCTGATGAAATCTATATGAAGCAGCCTCTAGGGTATGTAGATCAGCAGCACCCTCATTATGTGTGCAAACTGAGGAAATCTCTTTATGGTCTAAAACAGGCACCGAGGGCCTGGTACCAACGTCTGTCAGGTTTTCTTGTTGATTATGGCTTCGGGAAAAATGAACACGACACAAGCTTCTTTGTTAAGCATTCTCCTTCTGGCGTCCTCATTGTCCTTCTCTATGTTGATGACATTATTGTCACTGGAAGTGCCTCACCTCTTATCTCGTCCTTCATCGAGGCTATGCAACAGGAATTTCAAATGAAGAATCTTGGTCCTCTTCACTACTTCCTTGGACTTGAGGTCACACGCACAAAGGATCGCCTACTTCTGTCTCAAGAAAAATATGCCTGTGAACTCCTCCATAAAGCAGGAGTCGAAGATTGCAAACCGGCACCCACGCCCCTACCCGTACGGCAGCCCGAGGAGGGGGTGAGCTGTCCGTTCGACAATCCCACCTTTTTCCGAAGTTTAGTTGGCTCTCTCCAATATTTGACAAACACACGTCCGGACATTCAGTTTGCAGTAAATTATGTTTGTCAAAGAATGCATGCACCCACTGAGCAGGATTTTCAGTCCTTGAAACGCATCCTACGATATGTCAAAGGAACCATTGATCATGGTTTGGTCTTTCGGCGAGGCCCACAAACCATCTATGCATATTCTGATTCTGATTGGGCCAACGATATGACAGATGGACGATCCATTACAGGTTACTTGATATATTTTGGCTCGAATCTACTCTCCTGGAGTACGGAGAAACAGAGCCGTGTCTCACGCTCGTCCATCGAAGCCGAGTACAGAGCTCTCTCGGCCGCAGCAGCTGAGGTAATGTGGCTCACCTATTTATTTGACATTTTACAGATCAAGCTCCCTCCTCCTCATCTTCTATGCGACAACCAGTCCACCATCTGTCTAACTAAGAATCCGGTCTTCCATAAGCGCATGAAACATGTCGGAACTGATTGTCACTTTGTACGAGAACAAGTAATTGAAGAGAAAATGACAGTCTCTTATGTTCCTTCAAATGAGCAGCTGGCAGACCTTCTCACAAAAGCTCTTGCCTCGCCACGCTATACTGCACTGGTTGCCAAGCTTCCTCTCGTTTCACGGCGTTCAGCTTGAGGGGGGATGTTAGACATATATGGAAAGAAGTCTAGTTATAGTAGAATTGTATTTATGTTAGTTTACATATTTGGTGAATCCTAGTCCATGTAGGGATCCTCACTTATATAAACATCCATGTACATAATTATTCCTTAAGAGTGAATTCATAAATCAACAATAACATTAAAAAAAAACTATTAGGGAGTTATTAATCACGTTGTATTTAATTATCGGCAAATTCTTCTGTGGTTCTTAGGTTCATTCTTATTTTATGGTCCTTCACATAAAATAATTTTATGTGATGGGCCTTGTAAAACTAAGAAGATCCAACTCTTAACTCATTGAAAATATGTGAGAAAGTATACATTTTACATGTGGACTTAAGAACTACAATAACACAACTCTTAGGGGGGCTTACGGCGGGGTTGGGGTGTAGGGGCGGGGGTAGGGTGGGGGGTTTAGAGGGTGGGTTAAGGGGGTTAGTAACCGTCAATTTTACAAACGGAGTATCAGAAGTGCCCCAAAATGACAGTGGCACCGGAGTGTCACCGTACTCCGGTGTCACTAGAACCCCACCGTAATAATAATAATGTGGTTGAAATTTATACAGACAAATCAAGCAAACTTATCAAAATTCCATTTTTTTATTTATGGAAGTAGAGGATTTAGAGCCACTTAATTTTAAAAAGTTTAATTTAATTTGATAGATACGATATTGTAGGATACATACATAGATTTGAGGAGGTGGGGTAGAATTAGGTCACTAACTTTTATTAATTAATATGTTTCCTACTCATCGTGCATCTTAATTAACAGACCTAATGAATGATGATTTATTCTAATGTTGCCCATTATGGCGGCAAAAACAGCTACCCTGTTTAGTGCCCTTTATCTTTCAACCAGTACTATCACTCTTATCATACACTCCGTCCCTGTATATCTTTTCAAGTTGACTTTTTATGTACTTAAAAAAAATGAAAAAAATTGGAAATTTATTAAAATCCCTTTAATGAAATCGGTGGAATATGTTAAATAAAGTAGATAAGATGTAATAAATAAAGTGAGAGCAAATGTGATATTCTAAATGTTAGAAAAAAATAATGAGAAGATCTTTCACAGACAAACAAAAATGGCATTTAAAAAGATCTGTGGCGGACATATAGAGTTTTATATACGTACTCTAACCTCACAAATTCATTTTATACTTAATTGAAAATATCTTATATACTTTTTTGTTCCCCTTTTTTATATAGAGAGTATGTGGTACAGAATACTTCTAATTTCTATCATTTTTTAATTCTTAATATTTTTAAAATTTCTTTTTTCATTTATATGAAGTTGTAATTCAGAAAAATAATTTCAGACTAAGGCCACATTTGGCATCAGCGTTAGAGATTAGCGTTAGCGTTTTGAAAAAATTATCTAACGGTAGTCTTTAGGCCTTTAGCGTTGGCGTTTTCAGAATTAATCTACACCATTAAAATTTTATCCAAAACGCTAACGCTAATTGAAAACGTTGTTCCCAAACAAGTTCTAAAGTTTATATTTGATGATCGGTCGGAATTATTGCTTCTTCCATTTTTAAATTCAGTTCTTCTTTCATTTTTTTTCTTTATTTCAAAACATTTTCACATGATGCAATAAATTATTTAAGTAACTCGTCTCTCTTTTTTTCTTCAATACGAAAGATATAATTGAAAAGTCAAATTGCAAACATAAATATGCCAAAAGTTAACACAAAAACTATTTTGGGAGTAGTAATAAAGATAAAAGTATGTGCTTAATCAGTATGTGTAAGAAAGAGAAATTATTTATTTTGCTTTTTAGTCACTATTAGAAATTGAGAACAAACATCATTAGGGTGTTTTTATATACTCCGTATAACACAAGTTTAAAATCAGTCACCGAACTCCCTGAAAAAGTTTATAATGTTGTATATGTTCATATCTTTTTCAATTTAATGATGCATAATGAACACACACAAACATAAATATGGTGTAACTAGATTTTCCTTCTAATTAACTTTCAAATGATCATTTCATTTCATTAATATGTCACATAATTTTTATTTAATTATTAATTTGAAATTTATTTCCTCCAAGTGAAAAAGGTTAAATAAACGAACATACTGAAACAAAGATAGTTCAATGTTAAGCTTGTTCTGAATCCAGCCCGTGTTTGTGCAGGTCTAATATAAGTCATAAATTTGATAAATAATATCTCGGCATCTCTAGCCTTCTCTACTATCCACTCTTGATACGTAGTAATAAGTACAAGGTATTAGACAATGAGTGTTTGCACTATGATGTTTTGCCTGTTTTTTCTATTTATATATATATTTTGATTTAATTCAATCTTAGAGCAATGTCCTTAAACTTGATCATTCGGTCAGAGTAGTTAGTCCGGTCTAACTAACCACTACCTTTGGTTCAAAACTACTCTATATATTCTCATTGAAAGTATTTTGAAGTCTTTATCATTCTCTGTGTCACAATATATAGCATCATCCTGATTTTTTTCTTTTCTATTCTAATTCTTTGAACCAAAGGTAGTGTGCCTTAGCCAGTGTTCCGTTCAACTTATTTTTTCTGCTTATAACTTATTCTTATTATAATCAGATCAGATCAGACAAGGTCAGATCATAAATAGCTTTAGTTATAACTACAATCAAATTAGACCAGATCAGATCATATCTTCAAAAAATCAGATCAGACCAAATCAAATCAGATCAGACCAGATCAGATCATATCTTTAAAAAATCAGATCAGGCAAACGAAACGCATCCTTAGTGATCGTAGGTCTTGCTAGAAGCAAAATTGTGGGATATGCCATACAGCTAGATAGATTAAACTTCAACTTTTTTAACATTAATAACTCAATTAGAACATAATATCTAATCATACACCTTGTCAATATGTTAAAGCACATATATAAAAATACTACTTCCAGTAGGATTTGGATATATCACCTCTTATTAGAAAAAGTCACTTTGATATTGTTTTACCACAAAATACTTGGCATAAATCACCTTTATATGATACCCGAGTATAGAAATTTCTTTTAATATGTGTGTGACATTGTACCCATTACAACGACATTGCAACAAGAAAATATATTAAAGTTTAATCATTGGTGGCAACACAATCAACACACAAATTAAAGTGTTTTTTCAACTCGATCAACTCCACCATATATGCAGCAGCTGCTCATAATATAAATAAAAGAGGATTTTAGATATAATTACTTTAGAAAAATGAAATTAATTACGGAGAAAAACGTAACCGATTCCTTCTTTAGCAATTGCCTTAATGCCATCGACCAAATGTACACCTCAACAAAGATAAAAGATAGTTTGGCCTCCAAAATTTCAACACTTCTAATCACTTGATTTTTTGTTTTCTGTTTTCTGAGCAGAAACGTATTTGGCCTCCAAAACGTATTTGGCCTCAACAAAGATAGTTTGGCCTCCAAAACGTAACCGTCCCAGAGTATTTGTCCACTTTCATTTTTACACACCATCCAATACACTTCTTTAATCCATTTTATCTTGTAATTTGTATATTAAAAAATTATAGAAATTATATATTAATAATCTATATGTTATCATACATGACTATATTTAGGCTTACACATTGAGAGAATTTGATGGGTCAAAGTGCTTAGATGAACAGTTCCAAAAGTCAAAAGTGGACGAATATGGCGGGACAAAGGAAGTACTAGTTTTGCACTTATATTTAGTGTCAGAGCAAAGCATTGAATTACAAATATTTAAAATTGGTGTTTAATCTATACAGACGTGCGGGCTTCCAAAAATGCTTTCTGAAAAATTCTTTCTTAACTTAATAGGCCTGCCACCTGCCATGCTTATTAGTTTTGGGTTGATTTGGGTCATGACCCATTATAAAAGATTTTCTCACTTTTTTGGGCTTGAAAAATCAAAAGATTATCATTTTTCGGTCATGACCCATTATGAAAATCTTTTGGGCTTCAACTTATTGGTTTCCATCCATCTTAAAAGATTTTCTCACTTTTTTTCGGCCTTCCAAACAATACTTTCCAATTATTTTTTTTATTATTTATTAATTAACACGTTACTCAAAATGTTTTTCACTCATTCTAACAAGTTCTAACTATATACTCCCTTTGCCCCAATAATGTTTCAAATTCACCTTTTTGTATGTCCTAAGAAATATTCCACGTTTTACTATTAGAGTCTATTTGGTACACGAAATTGACGGAATTAGAATTGAATTGAGAGTTAAAATTCTATAGAACTGATTTAGATGAAATCGAATTCTCCAAATCCAATTCATTTTTAGCATTAACAATTCCAAATTCACATATTTTTTAATTTTTTTGCTACCAAATAACAGAATTAAAATTGTTGTCCCCAATTCCAAATTCATAGTTTAAATTTTGTGTACTAAACAGAGCCTCAAAAAAGTTTTTGTAGCTATTATTACTTATCTCTTCTCTATAACGTTCAATTATATAATTCCAATTTTCTTAATCTGAATTCTCGATCAATTTTGGAATACTATAGCCGGAGATATGATATTTTATACTTTTCATAAACTCCATCAAAATCAAATTGAATAAAGAAATTAAATTTAGACAAACCGCTAGGGATTATGGAGTTAGTTATCATTTAACCTTAGCATTATGAGTACTTCTTTGGTACACTTTGAGTGCATATCAATTTTGTGAACCTTCTCACTTAAAAAATGTTTTTTTTTATTTTTTTAATTCAAAACACGAATGTTTATTTTAGTAGTAAAGAAATGTTTATTTTGCTCATATGTAAGTCCATGCTAGACCTTAGGTCCATATTAGAGTTGGCCTAGCATTAGTAATTTGGTTTTGCAATATAGTTTTAGAATATCTTGCTGTGAGTTCATGATTATTATTGTTAGTTAGGAATATCAAATTGGAACAAAAGCATAATCGATAGGGGAATTTACCTAAATAGTACTAAAATATATTGATTTTCTTAATGTGGTACCATATATTTTTATTTTATAATGTAGTACCAATGTTCAATGTCCACTGGTCATAGTTCATGTAAATGTCCACCGTCACTCGACATTGTTCAAACTAAATGTCCACTATCACTGGACCTTGTTCCCGCAACTAGACATTATTCAAGTACTATTTAGGAAATAAAAAATTCAAGTATCATATTGGAAAAGATATATATTTTAGTACTATTTAATGCAAATTTCACTAATTCAATATACCAAAATAACGTGAAAATGTTTGCAACCAAAATTGAATTTATAGTGCTTAATAATGTCAGAACACAATGTTAAAAACATTATAAATTAACGCACAATGTCAAATAATGGTCATTTTAGTGTGCCATTAGTTAGGGGGATAAAGAATATATAGGAGATGTTATTTTGGGAAAACCTTCATGTTTAATTTTACTATTTAGGGAGCCAGATTTCTAACCTTGTTTTGTCCATAATCAAATAGTCCCGCCGTCCCATAACTACATTCAATTCATAAAATAAATTAGGATGGTTGACTACTTGACTGCATTCATTTGCAAGTTAATTTATTTAAATATTGGTACCAAATGTATTAATAAAATTTATATAATATGAATCTTAAAAAATTATATACAATGTTTTATGGAGTATAAAATAAGAAGTAACATGAGTATCTTAATTTAATATTCCTATTGTCTCTAAAAATTCTTCTTGAATTAACTTTTAAGTGATTTAAACGGGGTACATTTTGGTATTGACTTTCTAAAAATTACGATTGGATATGATGTGTAAAAGTATGATATAATGGGTAGATTAATAGTATCTTTGTCTCCGAGTATTTGTACGTTTTGATTTTTTTGTAGTCAACTATTTTCAGATTAAATAGAAGTTATTTGGTTTGAAAATATTGTATAAAATGAAATTAATAAAAATATTTTTGTATTAATATTTAGTACCAATTTTATTTAATTATGTTTCAAAGTTTGTCAATTTTAATTGTAAAAATTAAAACCAGGCAAATATTCAAGAACAGATGTAATAGTGAACGAATATGATATGAAATGACTTGTGCGAAAGAAAAAAACTTTTAGGAACGATATATAAATGATACACGAAAATAAATAAAGAAAAAAAATACTCCGTAATCTATAAATACAGGGCCGGTTCGAAAAATTAAGAATGAGATCAGTAGCGCCCGATCAAAAAAGAATGAGAGTAGTGAAATGACATTCTTACCCATATCAAGTTAGCCAGATAAATAGGCGGCAATGCGGCATGCGTGTATATAATCAACGGTTGGAAACAATGGAAGCCATAATAAAAAGGTCAAAATGGGTATGAATGGATGCATGACGCCCAATACCAGCAGTATAGATAGATAATGGGTAGTGGAAATAATCATACAAACGGTACAATTTTGACTTTTTTCCGTTAATCGTTTTCAAACTTTGACCTATAATTAAAAAAATATATTATATATTAATTAGATAAAATAATATTTTAAAAATATTTATATAATAAATCTAATAAAATTAGTTTTGTATCAATATCTAATATCAATTTTATTTAATTTGACGTTAAATTTACCAATTTTGATACAAAAAAATCAAAAATGGACAAATACTTAGTGCTAGAGAGAGTATAATTCTCTCATTTACATTTAATGGAATATTTTGACTTTTTGAGATAAATTAAAATTAAATAAATATAAACATACAAAGTAACTCATCAATGAGTCGATTTCGACTTTCGATTGTGCAATTGAGGTGGACTGGAACCATACCCAACCCGGCTAGCTAAGCTAGTAAGCTTCATCCATACATGACCAAACGTGAACTCAATCCAATTTGAACCAAAGTGCATTATATTGCTCGAACTCTTTCAGAATCAAACTTATTTCCGATTCTAATGACTCATTTGCCTATTTAACCCGTTTATAATTTGAATATACAGTGACTCTCGGTCGATAAACAAATCTAAAATACTCGAAATTAGACCCGACTGGAAGGAAATATATTTATGACATTTGAGAATTTTAAAAAAGTACTCTATATATTATTTAATGAGATCAATTAAAAAGTGTCAATATCAATAAAAAAATACTCACTTTATCACATAATTATCCCCTTAAAAACAATATCAAGTTAATTAATTAGTTAAATCAAGAATAAAATTAGGTTGCTTCAAAAAAAAGAATAAAATTAGGGGAAAGGACTAATATGGGCCACTTCTTTATGGCTGTTTCGGAAGCGCCACAAAAGCAGAGCCGCACATAATGTTTCCCTATTTTTGGGAATTCAGATAAGACATGCAGAACTGACACGTGAAAAAAAAATGCCCGTAATTTAACCTGCCCGAGAGGGGCATTTTCGTCCCAAAATTACGGGTGGATGTGCCCCTCCCTTACCGGCTGCTGGACACCTCATTTCGGGCATGTCCCATCGGGCAGGGTTCGGATTTGTTGACTCTTCAGTCAAGCTCAACCTACATACTGTACATGACTAGTTTTCATCATCCAAACGCTCCTTATCTCCCCAAAACCAAGGCCTTGTTTGGATACTGGTAAATAAGTAGAGGTAGGTGGAATTAGGGCTCCTTAGAGCATTCACCATAGGGAGTGGGGTGGACCCGCCACACCGCTTCGGTTGGAGATTGCGTCTGGCGCCACAGCGCGGGCCAGACATCGGGGGTGAAAGGGGGCAAGGAAGCTCACTGCAGCCCTCACCCTCGCCATGCTGCCGGGGTGAAGGCGGGCGAGGAAACTATTCTTTTTATTTTTTGTTTGTTTTTTATTTTTATTTTTTGCTTACTGTTATTGTTTTGTATTATTTTTGCATTATTCCTTATTAGTCCCTCCGTCTCGGAGTATTCGTCCAATTTTGACTTTTGGAACTGTTCATCTAAGCATTTTGACTCGTCAAATTCTCTCAATGTGTAAGCCTAAATATAGTCATGTGTGATCTTGTTTGATTTGTCTTAACATATAGATTATTAATATATAATTTCTATAATTTTTTAATGTACAAATTACAAGATAAAATGGATTAAAAAGTGTATTGTATGGTGTGTAAAAATGAAAGTAGACAAATACTCTGGGACGGAGGTAGTACTACTTCTTCTGTCCCATAAAATCTTTCTTCTTTCATCCGTCCAAAAAAAATTTCTTATTTACATTAAAAAATCATTTCTATTCCACTAATTTTTAACTTTCCTATCATATCATACTTTTTCACTACTAATCTACTAATCACATCTACCCTTTTATCTAACTATTAAGACATTTTTAGAAAGTCAACATCAAAATACACTCCTATTAAAAATCAAAACAGGAAATGTTTTCTGCATTGGAGGGAGTATTATTTCTTATTGTATAAATCCGTTAAAAATCAAAACAAGAAATGTTTTGTGGGACGGATGAAGTATTATTACTTATTGTATAATTTTTGTTTTATTTCATTTTAAAATTATTTTTCATTGATTTATTATTATTTATCTATTTTTATTAATAGATAAATATTGTATTAAGTTTATATTAATTTTTAACTGAAAATGATATATATTGTAAAATTAAATGGAGGGGCCGTAGGAGAGTAATGTTGTAGTAATTCATATTTAAACAAGAGTACTTTTTTTTATAAAAATTGAATATTGGAAAAGGTTATCGGGAAGGAGTATATTCTTTTTTATCTTAAAGAAAATGGGCAAAGATATTTTCTGGCACCTGGCTCTGTTTTAAGCCAAGAAAAATAAAAACTAATCCGTACCATTTAATATGAACACAAAAAGCAATCTTCTTGCAATATTCCCATTCTTCACATTCTCCCAATTTTTACAATAATAACCCCACCCTTCAAAAAAATTAATATCTGCCCACACCTGGAAATTAAACCTTAATGCCTGAGAAAAAGTAACAACAACTCTTGTTGTCCTTGCAGATAAAAAGAAATAAAAAAAAAGAGATGATCTAGAGAGAGAGAGAGAGAATTTACTGTCCATATATACATATACAACATAGGCTTTCTTTTATGGCAAAAAGATCCAATCTTGGTAAGAATTTGATGAAGGGTAGCTGTGTATTATTTCAGTAATATCATTGTTCTTCAATCTCTATTATATTTCTTGAAGTGAATTATAAGTTATAAACTTTGATCCTGTGTTTATTCCCATATATATATATACACATACATATAGTAAAGTGATCTCTTTTTTGATCTCTGTCTGTCTCTCTCTGTATCTATATATATATATATATATATATGAATATATAGATACATGTAATTAGTAAAGAGGATAAAGGGCAAAATGGGAAGAGGGAAAGTGGAACTGAAGAGGATAGAGAACAAGATAAACAGGCAGGTGACATTTGCAAAGAGAAGGAATGGGTTGTTGAAGAAGGCTTATGAGCTTTCTATTCTCTGTGATGCTGAGGTTGCTTTGATCATCTTCTCCAACAGGGGAAAGCTCTATGAATTCTGCAGTAGCGCAAGGTAATTAATTCATTTCTCTATTTTCTTTTTATTTTTTTTAAAAAAATTTATTCTTGTTTATCTAATTAATCAAATCTTGATTTCTTTTTCCATTAAAGATTTGTTTTTGTTTTGTTTTTTTGGGATCGGATCATATACTTACAAGTTCAGATTTCATGCTGAAATTTGACGCATAGATCTTTTTTTTGAGGTATATGCTTTTAGTTTAACTTTACAATGAATGGTATTAATTACCTTGTATATATGTGATCCTAATTATTAAAGGTGTAGAATACTCTTAGATTAATTTAATTACACACTTAAACTAGTAATTAATTTGATTGGCCAGGCCAGTCAAAATCCACATTCTAAAAGCAAGCTAGGTGAGGTCTGACTCAACCATACTTTAATTAGTTTCATGCATATTAATTAAACCCATCATAATTACTTGTGTGCATTATTATTATTATTATTATGTATGCTAATTAGTGATACTTAATTATCTATCATTATTATTATTTTATTCTATATGCATGTGTAACTTAGGATTAATATTTTCTTTTGAAAGCCAATTAATTATGAATCATAATGTATATATATTAATGTTTATATTATTATGGTGGAAATTGCAGCATGGCTAAGACACTTGAAAGGTACCATAGATGCAACTATGGGGCACTTGATGCTAACCAAGCTGCATCCAAGGAGTCACAGGTGATTATCACTTTAATTAGTACTTACAAGAAACTCTTTTCTTGTTATTTATTAAATCTTCACACATATATAATCAATAAGTTATTAGCCATTTCATTTGGGAAATGATTAGCATTCTGAATAAATTTTTAAGGGTATAAATATAATTTCAAAACATTTACGGAAAAAGTTACTCTTAGATAGCATTTTCAACTTGTTAAAGATAATCTCAAACGGTGCCAACATTTGGGCACGTTGTTGCTAAATCTGCTCTCTTTCTGGCTAAATCTGCTTCTTTGTTGTTGAATAGACAATTTTACCCTTAAAAGATTGATTATTGCATCTAAAGTAATTCATTCATATTTAAGGGCAAAATTATTCATTTATAATAAATGATGTAAATTTAGCAAAAGTGGGATGGAGTGTATTTAGCAACACCACTGGATTTGGGTCTATCCCCCATTTCCAACCTTGCATTTGAAAAAAAAATTGTTACTTGTTTTCTTTTTCCTTCAGAAATAAATCAAAATGAAATGATCCAAAAAATTGTTTGTTCATCAATGGAAATGTATGAACACCTAAATATTCATTTTTTAAGGATAATGTTCTGTGAATAGTTGGATTGAAAGTATTGTGTCTGATGTGATGTGGTTGCACTATTTTTGTGTCAAAAAATGATGAAAATATATGGTTTTGGATGCTCTAACAGTTTAAGTACCAGTAGATCTCCAGCTATGTATTCTATAGCTATAGTGGATTTTCCCTAATTTGTGGTGTGGTTTTTTTTTATTTTTTATTTTCTCCAAGAATTAGTAGAGACTAATTTTTAGGGAGTAATATAATACAGTACTTGTATTATTATTACTGTTATTATTAATATTACTGTTACTCCCTCCGTTTATAAAAATACTTCTGCTCAAATTTTTTGTGCACCCCATAAAATACTTTTACTTCCACCTAAAATATCTAAAATACATTTCATTATGTAGTTTAATGCGAGTATAGTAGAAATTGTTTTGGGGCTATTTTAGACATTTTTATGAGGTGCAAAAAAATATTGCACAGAATTATCAAGAGTATCTGAAGCTAAAAGCTGGAGTTGAAGGGCTACAAGAATCTCAAAGGTTAGCCACTCAGACTTCCTCTGTGCATATGTTCAACCTACACACTATTCACTACTGCTATTCTTCCATTTATGCTTGCTTGCTCAAAGTTCAGTCTTTTTTTCTTCTTTTCACTCTCTTTTCTAGTCCTCCCTATTATTATGAGTGTAGAATAAGTTCATTTTTAAAGAAAAAAATAGAATATACTCCATGGATATTCTTAAATGATGAGCCCCATAGACCATAGTGTAGCTACATATATTATCTTTATGGAACTACTTTGCATCATAGTGTTTATATACTAGGATATACTCCCTCCGTCTCCCAGTTTTTGTCCATTTTCATTTTTTACACACCATCCAATGCACTTCTTTAATCTATTTTATCTTGTAATTTGTATATTAAAAAATTATATAAATTATATATTAATAATCTATATGTTAAGACAAATCAAACAAGATCACACATGACTATATTTAGGCTTACACATTGAGAGAATTTGATGAGTCAAAATGTTTAGATGAACAGTTCCAAAAGTCAAAAGTGGACAAAAATTGGGGGACGAAGAGAGTATATACATCTATACCAACTTAAGTAACACAGAAGTGCGACTTCAAAAATAACTTTGTATTATATAGAGTGAAATTGTATTAATTAGTTTGCTGCTTTTAGGCACTTGCTTGGAGAAGACTTGGTGCACCTAGGCATTAAAGATTTGGAGCAACTAGAAAATCAGTTGGATTCCTCATTAAGGAGAATTAGGTCAACAAGGGTAAGTATATACTCATTTCTCAAAACATTTCGCTTTTCTTTTTTATCCGTCCTAAAACACATTTCTCGTTTTTATTAAAAAGCCACTTTTATCTTTACTAATTCTTGACCTACAACATCTATTCACTATTAATCTACCAATCAAATCCCTTTAAGCTCATTTAAAATCAAAGGGGAATTTACCTAAATAGGACTAAAACATAATGACTTTCTCAATATAGGACCATATTTTTTATTTCCTAATGTAGGACCATTGATTATTATCCATTAGTTATTATTCAAGTAAATGTCCACCATTACTAGACATTATTCCTCTCACTGGACATTATTAAGTACTATTTATGTAATAAAAAAGTTCTTACATTGGAAAATGACTTATGTTTTAGTCCCATTTAGCGCAAATTTCACAAAATCAAAATCTCCCATGTTTTTAGGGATAGATGGAGTATATGTATATCAAATTAATTAATTAACTCACTCCTTCCGTCTCAAAAAAAATCCACATTTAATAAAGTTACTATTTAAGGTAAAGCGTAATTTGGGTATTATTTTCCCATTTTACCCTTGGTTTATGGTATGATAGAATAGAATGTCGGGTAGTTTAATTACGGATGTGTATGATGTGACGAATATATGTTAATCTTGGGATTGTGCGTATCTCACTCTAATTCTACATTAGTATGCTTTACTCGCGTTGAGCCTAACACTTGTCAAAACATATGAATTGCATTCTAAATTTCCCTTTAATTTTTATTTGTCTCTTGTTTTGCAGACAAAACACATGTATGATGAACTATCTAACCTTCAGCAAAGGGTAAGTCTGAGAAAATGAACGTTTTTAGACTAATTTTTAATGTGTTCATGAAAAAGAAGAGTCTATTATATGAAAAAAAGTCTAAAAAACAAAGCCAATGTTTTCAATTATGGAGTATTAAATTATATGAGGTATTTTGAACAAGACGAATGTGTTAAATTTAGGTAATTAATCCAACGAGTATATTTAGTCATATTGTCAAATGAAATTTCTATCCATTTAGTACAAAGTATCATTTTTCGTTTTTATAGGGTTTTATAACCTTTCAACACTATTCTTCTCTCAAATTTGTATAGGGTTTTATAGGGTACTCGTGATATTAGAATCTCATGTCATGAGATGACTTGGAGGCGTTACGATGCCGCGTTCCTTAAATTGACAGTTCCTACCCCTAACCCCCTAAATCCCCCACCCTATTCCGACCCAAACACACGCCCTCACCCCATTCAATTGTTTCCTAAAATTAATTTTGAGAGAGTAACGTAGCCAATTTATACACGTTAATTATTTCAATCTACTAATGATTAAAATGGTTCTTGGGGTGCTTAATTTGAATTGGCAGGAGAAAAGTCTTCTCGAAGTCAACAAAGCCTTAAAGCTAAAGGTAAATATAAAACCTTACGGAAACCTAATTTTTTTATTAAAGTATTCCCACATTGAAAAGTTGGAGGAAAGAATAATCATTCAAATAAAGCGTACCGTTAAATGAATTTAATATTACCTCCGTCTTGAACTACATTAAAATCTTTTTTTCTCTCGCTCATATTGACAACTTTTGTTTATTTATGTGTTTTCATTAAATAGTTGATAAAATAAAATATTTTTGTCATTCTAAGAAACTTTTAACGTAACTTTTAATATGTAAGAGTAATTTTTATTTCTTAGCTTATTGTTATACTAATTTGTAATAATAAAATAATTTCAAAAGATGAAAAATTGTGTCTTGTAACTTTCAATCTGTAATCAAATTAAGGATAGAAAGAAGTTTTGTTTTGTTTAACTCAAGTATTTCATGACTCAATTTCATTGAATTTAAATTTTATCACCTTGTTTAAATTTGTTGGTGATGAATGATTTATGTGTATTAGTTGGGAGAAGGTGAAAATGGTACATTCACATCATCTTGGGAAGCAGATAATGTGCCAAACACACCACAGCACAGAAACTATCATTCTCATCAGCCCCAAAGATTCCTTCACCCTCTTCAACTATGCAACACACCACAAATTGGGTAATTTGTCTCTCTTTTACTAATTGTATTTATTTGTTTTCTCTTTTAAAATTTTATTCAAAACCCTAAGAGTCATGTAAAATATTGTTTCCAACCAGAGTCTAAGTAGCAAATTGTACTGTGACTCGCAATCTCTATCTCACGAATTTTTAACAATTTTTAAGAATATGTAAAGTCAAAATTTAATCTAAGACAGAGAAAGTATATATATAAGGTAGAAGCGTTTTTTGAACAGGTACGACCAGGAGGTAACGGAGCAACAAACGGAAAACGACGCCGTCGGAAACTCAACATTAAATGGAGCTGGGGTTATTCCTGGATGGATGCTATAATTAATCCTACGTGGACCGTCTTATTATTATAATTATTCTATAATTAAGTATATTTATATAGTTTCATCCAACAACAAAAAAATATATATTTACTATTTATAGAATATGTATTGAGGAAAATTGTATGATTAGTGCAGTGTTAATTAGAAATGCTGCATGCATGCATATTTCGCTTGTGGTAGCTCTGTACTTAATTTTGATGAAAATTATTATATGATGAATTAAGTGGTGATTTGTGTATATATTAATAAAATACTCAATAATTATCATAATCCTTTACTCGGTCTTTTAATAAAGTGAAATTTGCACTTAATTTGCACTTATATAGGCCTAATAGCGCTGGTACTCCTCGTGGTTTGCAAAACATGCATCAATACCCCCTCTGTTTTCAAAACTCATTTCTAAAGTCCCTGTGGTTTTAAAAAGTTGCACCCATGCCCCCTCTGATCAATTTCCGGCCATTTTTCCGGCGAAGAAGGGGGGCATCGGTGCATATTTTTTAAACCATAGGGGTATCAGTGCTGATTTTTATTTCTCGCATTTTTTTCATTTTTTCAATTTTTTGTTTCATTTATTAATAAAGGTTTTTTAATAATATTTTTATAATGTTCTTAAAATTCAAAGTTATTTTTGTTTGAAAAAATTAACATACATGATACATTGTATATGTACGTCTCAAATTAACAAATTTGTTTTTTGTGAATAAAGAGTAATTTTTTTAGAACTTCAAAAAATGAGGAATAAAATAAGAAACAAAATAATACAAAAATAAAAATGAATATCCTTTTTGGACATCTCAATTCTAAGGACTTTTTTAGGCTTGTTCAAATTCTTTTTTTAAAAGACTTTTTTTCCGTATTTTAATTTTTTCATTTTTATTTTCTATATTTTATTTTTTTATTCTGGTTATTTTTTTAACTTTCCAAAAAATTATTCTAAGTAAGAAAAAGTGAAAATGTTTAATTTGAGATAAATGTAATGTATGTTAATATTTTATTTCTATATTTATTTCAAACACAAAGATTTTTAAAATTTTTGAAACATTATAAAAATTTGAAAATATATCTTAAAGAAATCTAGGAAAAAGGAAAAAGAGATAGAAAATATTAAAAAAGGTAATAATAATAAACGAAAATAAGAAATGAGCACGAATGCCCCCTACGGTTTAGAAATTATGCGTCAATGCCCCCTCTTCGCCGGAAAATGGCCGGAAAATGATCACAGGGGGTGTGGGTGCAACATTTTGAAACCACGGGGACTTTAGAAATAAGTTTTGAAAACAGAGGGGGTATTGGTGCCAATTTTCCAAACCATAGGGGGTGTGAGAGCTATTTGGCCTTAATAAAATACTCAATAATTATCATAATCCTTTACTCGGTCTTTTAATAAAGTGAAATTTGCACTTAATTACCTACGTGGTCCTCTGTAATAAGGGGTTTTCCCAAATTAGTCCTCAATAAGTTTTAATTACCTACGTGGTCCTCTATAATTGAGATTTATTCCCAAAATAGTCCTTTGTAATAAGGTGTTTTTCCAAATCAGTCCTCAATAAGTTTTAATTACCTATATGATCCTCTATAATTGAGATTTATTCCCAAGATGGTCCTTCGTAAATAATGTTACTCAAATGATGATTAATTATGGGTATTTTTTCTCTGCTAAATTTAGAATCAATTTTTAAAATAATTATTTATAATGAAGTGCTTTACCAATTTCTAATTAAAGATCTGTATTTGATTTGAAATTTAAATTTTTTTTAAGTTTCATAAATATATTTGGTTTATCTCTATGTAATAAGGTGTTTTTCCAAATCAGTCCTCAAATGAGGATTAATTGGGAGATATTTTGGTATTTTGATCATCCAAATTTAAAGTATATTATTTAAAAACAATCATTTCTGTACAACTAAATACATTGACTATAAATACTTTATGAATTATTTAAAACTTAAAAAAATCTTTTAAATTTCAAATCAAATACACATCTTTAATTAGAAAAACCATTTTGGGGAAGCACTTCATTATAAATGATTATTTTAAGAATTGAATTCTAAATTTAGCGGATAAAAAATACACTCAATTAATCCTCATTTGAGTAATATTATTTACAAAGGACCATTTTGGGAATAAATCTCAATTACAGAGGACCACGTAGATAATTAAAACTTATTGAGGACTGATTTGGGAAAATACCTTATTACAAAGGACTATTTTGGAAATAAATCTCAATTATAGAGGACCACGTAGGTAATTAAAACTTATTGAGGACTAATTTGGGAAATCTCCTTATTACAAAGGACTATTTTGGGAATTTACTCTAAACTTTTTTATTTCCTAAATAAGACTTAATAATGACTAGTGAGACGAATAATGTCCAAGTGATGCTGGTCATTTAGTTGAATAATGACTAATAGATAATGACCAATGATCCTACATTGGGAAATAAAAACATATGTCCTATATTGAGAAAGTTATTATGTTTTAGTCTTATTTAGGTAAATTATTCTTTAATAAATGCCACCAACATTCTACCGGTTCAATTCGTATTAGGGCAAAAATTACTCTTTCCCTTCTAATTTAAATAGTTTGTTTCGATTTATTATGTTTATTTTTAGCACAATTAATTTAAGAATTAGAGTGGAATTCTAAAATAAAATGTATATTTTTTAGTTTGAGAATTGGAGTATAAAAAAGCCCTATGAACAAGTGATGATATGACTAATACTATTTTATCAAATGAATGATGAAAATAGAAAAACAAAATGAATAAAACTTGATTATATGAATAGAAAGCATACAACTAAATTTAAAATTAAGAGAACAACAACTTGTTAGATTATAAAAAAATTCTTGGGCCGCAATCATAAGCTTAAGCTTTTGGTTGAGTTGATTCTTTAAACAATATGATATCAACGCCTTGTTAACTAAGAGGTCACGGATTCAAAACCCAACACTACCTTCTCTTTAGAAAAAATTATGATTTCACGTGAAAGACTCGAATCGACTACTAAAAATAGCTACCATCATAAACTTAAACTATCAGTTGAGTTAATTTCTTGACATATGTAGTCTCGAATTTGAAATCTAAATTCGAGTATATAAAACTACATTGACATACTCAAATTATACTCCATATTATGTTTCTTTTTCATATTTTATCGGATTATTTCATAAAATACAAAATAAAATAATTATTATGTTATCAAATAATTAATGGAACAGTTAACTAAATAAAAATTCTTGTGATGTTAAGTGATATATGGATTAGTAAGAGTAAGAAAATGTTTGGGAGTGCTTAACTTGTGGATAAAGTAATTTACATAAAAGCTGAAAGCGAAAGTACCTGATAACTGCTTCTCCAAAATGGTGTTTATGTACAAAATAGCGGTGGAGACAAGCAGAAACTGATATGCCCAACAGAGTAAAACTACAATCACTCAAAGCTGATAAGAAAATAAAAAAAACATAAATTACATATTTAAAAATAACACAAAGATTTTCAAAAACAAATGAAGACAAAAATATTATATTTTATCAAATGCATAATAAAAAATATACCCAAAGAAAAACATTTAGAAACCTAAAATTTTGGCTAGCCCAATTTTTTTTGGGGGATGTAGGAGTATTGGTAAACGTACCCAATTGAATAAATATACTTCTTTTGTCCCAGATTAAATTTACAATTTTCTATTTACAAGACAAAATTCTACATTTTTAAATATCAATTTATCTAAAACTTTTATATGAATAATTTAAAAATTTACAAATTAAAAAATTTCGTCAAAAAATCTACAAAAAAAAGAGGTGATAAAAATATTTTATTTGTTAAAATAATTAATGAAAATATATAAACAAATAAGTTAAACTGAGATATATAAATTGTAAAAAATGTGTTACCCGTTTAGTTATTATTTTTGAAAGAAAAAAAAAGGATATCCCTATCCTCGGACCTTCTTAGGCTTGACCGGACGGTCATTGGTGACAAGAAGTGGAGTCTATATTTGGTACTTGCAGAGAATCTATGTTGAGCATAGTTACTTCAATTTCAGCGCATGAAGTTACCAGATATCAATTTTCGTATTTCGATCTACATACACATTTGCCAACTGCGCAACACATGCCAAAATGTTCTTATTTAGGAGTTTGAGGCGGTAAAGGCGGGGTGGTGGGGGGGGACAGTGGACTGGTGGTGCAGTGGGCGACAAGACAGAATGAGGAGATCGAGGACATGGAAAACATTGGAGGAGAGGGCTTTATCCAATTAACCTGCGGGTGCTGTGTTTTGCCCAGCGGATCATAGGCTGCCCTCTCCCGCACCCAATCAGAACCCGACAGCTAAACCTGGTACCGTAGGCCTCATCATCATCATCATCTGATCTCTCCCCTCTGTCGCGTCACATCTTCTGCTCCCTCGCCTCACCCTTTATTGTGCACCCTCACTCACTCACTCCTTAGTTCTTTCTCTCTCTTTCTTTTTCTTCTTTTCTTTTCTTGTCTTTTTGAACAATTGAACCCAACACCTTAGGTTGGCTTGATTGAGATAGAAAAAAAAATATTCTCATTTCTTTTTTTAACATTGTCTCAATTCTCCATACTTAAAATGAAGGTTCATATTCAAATATCATTTCTTTTAAAATAATTTAACTTATAAATTTGAATGGAAATAAAAAAGAACAACTAAATTATTAAACATGAGTTTAAGACACTAAATACTTAAATATTACGTCAAACTTATACTCTTTCCATTCCACAATATTTACCTCTCTGAACAACGTACAGATTAATTAAGTCATTTATAAAATCTTTTTAATTACTAATAATTAGTAAAGAAATAAGTATACAAATTAACCGTTCAAAAGCATATCAAAAATTCCACGTTCAAAAGAAGATGTGAGAAAAATAATTTATTTTATCAAATTATCAAAAGAAATATATTAACAAAAATAAATTATCGAAATACTATAATAACAACAAAGACAAACAATGCGGGGCGGATGTAAGGCTATATGACTTATTTTTTCAAATAATTAACAAAAATTTATTCCCTCCGCCCCAATTTTTATTACAATTTTTTCTTTCTCTTCTCAATGACTTTTATTTATTTGTGTACCTTTATTGATTATTCGATAAAATAAAATATTCTTGGCATCACTTATTTTATAGAATTTTTGATGTAGTTTATTAATGTGTAATTTTTATTTTGTATCGATATACCAATTTGTAAATAAAATGATTTTAAAAGATGAGAGATTTTGCCTAATGAATCCCAATTTGTAATC